GTGTTCAGTAAACACATTACCAAATGTCCTCTGGGGTCATAATCACCCTAGCTGAGAATTACTGAGTTAGAGGAAGGCAGATTTGAGAACATTTACCACAGTAGCTATTTAATGAAGTAAGCTCCTAAATTGGAAGCATTCAAAGTGGACCCTGTGGGACTGATTTTTTTCCATATGTGAGGGGACTGGATTACATGACTAATAAGAGGCCTCCCAGTGTTCACACTATCACATTGATGGGTTAATTTGGGAAGAGTATTTATTTCAACATTCTTCAGTATTGCTAGGGGGGCTTTAAACATAACATTATATCCTTGGTAGTCCATTCAGCTCATAAACATGCCTCAGGAATGTTTTCATAAATATGAAATGATGAGTTCTATTTTAAACACCTGCAGTCATTTAAGTTGCTTTTGRGACATCTTGTTTATAATCTTTTTGGTATAAAGGGACAGTACCATAACTTGCTTACTGCCATATAATATGAGATGGTTTTAACATGTATTTTTTTAAATAATGGATAATAATTTTTTGTTAGTTGCTCAAAACATGGATAATAAATTTAATATTGGAGAATTTTAATACTGAACAATATCTGGGACCTGACTCCTGCTTACACTTGACTGGAGATCTCTCTCAAATCCAGAGTGTTCCTATAACCTGGAGGAGTAGAGGGCAGGCTCCCACTTCATAGAACCCAGAAACCTCAGACCCTTAGAAAAGAAGCCAAAAGCCCCTTGGTATTCACAGCCTGCCTCTAGGCAGCAAGGGCCAAGTGCTGGGTTTTGAGAAGTCTCTGTTGCTGCCACCACCCATAAGTAGCCCTTATGTCTCTCTAACGTAGTCAGAAACACACTGAGGTGATTAAGAGAGACCTAGATTACAGATTACAGTAGTTTATGTTCTCTCAGGAATCCAGAGTTAGCATTAGTTGCTGTCTTAGGCCATTGTTTTCACAGGGACAGAAAAGTTTATATCAGGAATGAGAGAAGGACATGGTACTTAGGGATCTGAATGCTGGAATATTTGGGGTTTATTCATTAAAGAAGTTAGTAAAAGAGGCAATATTAAATGTTACCTCTTAAAGATAACAGTGAAACTTTTTGTTTTTACATAGGTTAGATCGAGCCAGGTGTGGTGGCACATGCCTATAATCCCAGTGACTCCAGAGGTTGAGGCAGGAGTATTGAAAGTTCGAGGCCAGCCTTGGCAACTTAGGCCCTAAACAACTTAGATCCTGTCTTTAAAAATGAAAAGGGCTAGGGATGTCACTCAGTGGTAAAGCACCTCTGGGTTCAATCCCTTGTACCTAATAAATTAGTAAATAAGTTTTTAAAAAGACTGGGGATATAGCTCAGTGGTAAAGTGCCCCTGGATTAAATTTCTAGTACCAAAAAAAAAAAAAAAGGTTTAGATTGAAACATTGTTTGCCTAGAGATTTAGCCTTAGAAGATTATTAGAAGAGGAAATCCATTGTCAAACTAAACAGCTACAGTTGTCACAAACAGAGGTACAGTACTTGCTAAAATTGTTCAGCTTTCTGGATATTCTAAAATATTGGAAATTCTGGAAGCTCCTTTTATTAATCTATTAGCTAACTTTGGTATTCTTATATTTGGAGAGGGTTTTTTTTCTAAGAAAAATATTGGAACAAAGCAAATATTAAGGCTAATCGTTAAAGGACTTTTAGGACTTTAATGAGAAAGGCTTAAAAATTAGGAGGCTCTTTTGGGCTAGGGATGTGGCTCAAGCGGTAGYGCGCTTGCCTGGCATGTGTGCGGCCTGGGTTCGATCCTCAGCACCACATACAAAGATGTGTGTCCRCTGAAAACTAAAAAATAAATATTAAAAAAAAAAGTTCTCTCTCTCTCTCTCTCTAAAAAAAAAACCAAAACATTAGGAGGCTCTCTAGAGAGGTTTGCTGCTAGAAAACCTTCATTTCTGGTTGAAATAAATTCCATTTGCTAATGGAAGTATCAAAATAGCWTATATGCAGTTATAGCTACCTGAATGTGGCAGGGTAGTTCAAATACCCAGGTCTTAGTGTCTGTTGGATCTCTTAACAGTTGCAGAGGGAATAAACAATAACTCTCAGTATTCTGCCATAGTACCTTGTGATGGTAAGGGCTCACGATGACCAATCAAAGTCAGTCAGAAACCAGTGGTGGCTATTAAATAAGTAGTCAGGTAGAAATGTATAATATTTTGATATGTGAGAGATTTCCTTTAGATATTATGTTAATAAAACAGTAAGCTGAAAGATGAGGCAAGGCTCCCACAAACTGTTTTGTGGAAGATGCAGTGCTTAGCACAGACCTGTCCCATACTGAGCACTGAATAAATACCTATGCAGATAATGGAAGAGGACAGGAAGAAAATAAATGTAAGAGTAATACAAAGTCAGAGGGAAAAAAATCTTAAGAATGAAAAAGAATGCATTTTTAATACATAGCCAAATACTCAGGAGATTTGGATAAATGTGGTAATTGCTTGCTGCTTTGCTTCACTTTCCCACCTTGTAGTACGGCTCACTAAGGACCCTGGCTTATTCATTAACCATAGCACAGAGTAGTCAACATTTATTGAAAAGCTGTGGTTTGCCAAGCACTATGCTTTCTGTGAGGTATTATCCCCACTTTAGAAATGAAGGAAATGGAGAAGTTGAATAACTTGTCCAAAGATACACAATGGAGCTGGCATGATTCTAACTGGGGATTGTCTGACACCAAATATCTATGTATAATATTCAGGCCAGACTATCTAAGTGCTCAGTAAATATGTGTAGAGTACAGATWAAAAAAAAAAAAGTGGAAGCCAGGCACTATGGCACATGCCTGTAATCCCAGCAACTTGGGAAGCTGAGGCAGGAGGATTGCAAGTTCAAGGCCACCCTGGGCAATTTAACAAGATCCTGTCTCAAAAATATTTAAAAACAATAAAAGGGACTGGGGTTGTAGCTCAGTGGTAAAGCAAATTTGGTTTCAATACCTACTATTAAAAATTGTGAAATGTATATATCAGGGAAGAATCCACTGAAGAAATTACATTTGAGCTAGATCTTAAATAAAAGTAAGATTTGGTTGTGGTGAAATGGGGAAGGATATTGGTGAGGTGTAGAGTATGTAGCCAAGAGGATAAATCTGTTAAAAAAAAAACAAAACAGTGTGGTCAAAGAAAAGAAGGGTTCTGGTTTTCTACTTTAAGGATGTATTTGAAGATACATTAGTAGAGGTATATTGTCAGAATTTGGGTCCAGATTGTACAGGGCCTTGAATGCTAGTCTGAGATGTCTGTACTGGACTTTGGAGACAAAGTCAACCTATCAAAGACTTTTTAGMAAGAAGGACTAAGAAATACAGAAAATTTGGAAGCAAGTTGAGGGCTAATGATGTATTTAAGATACTTGCCTACAACATACAGAATAATGCTTTACAGAATAGMCTGAAGGTTTTTCCTGAGAGCATTTCCCAAGCAGGACTTGACCATAAGAGCATACTTGGCTGGTTCCAATATTCATGACATCTAGGTTTTAGGAACCCTTAAAGCGTGAGTACTTTATAATAATTATTTTTAAAACTCAGGGTTTGCTTTTGTGCCAGTTACCACCTTTCTGATGTAAGAAACTTTAAAACCTTAACTCCTGGGCATTGTCGTGGTCTCAACACTATCACAGGATCTATCTCCAGGAGAAATTCTCTTTCCAGAGTCATCTCTGGAATTAAAATATGTCATTTTAGTTTAGTTTTCTATAGTCTTAAAGTTTTAAAAACTATTGCTCTGCTCCTACTTGAGTTAAAATATTTATCATAATTACTAAAATGATGACACTGTCACACCAAATTTAATAGCTTGCCTTCCTCCAATTGCAACAGTTATGTCTTTTGAATATTGTCTTGCATGTTTTTCAAGTAAATGAAACTATGCATTTTTATACAGATTTTTTTCATTCAACATTATATTCTTGAGATAATTTATATTTAGATCACATATATTAGTCCATTGTGTGAATACACCATTCAGGTACTTCTTGGTGGACACAACATCTTTGTTTGTATGTGGTGCTGAGGATCGAACCCGGGCCGCACGCATGCCAGGCGAGCGCGCTACCGCTTGAGCCACATCCCCAGCCCCAATGATGAACGTTTTTTGTTATTACGAATGGTGCTGGTATAAATATTTGTGTGTATATCTCCTTTGAATATTTGTAAGAATTTCTCTAGAGCAGTGGTTCTCAAACTTGGCCATGTATCAGAATGACCTGGAAGGCTATTTAAACTGGAATTGATTGGCTCTTAGCACCATTGTTTCTAAATTAGGTGTGTGGTAGATTCCAGTATTTTGCACTTCTTGTAAGTCCTCAGGTTCTGGTGATCTATTGATTGAGAACTAACTGTTTTATAGCATAGATCTTGGAGTTGAAAWAGAGAATGAATGTTTTCTACTTTATTGGTAATRCTAGATTGTTTATCTGCCAGCAGTATGAAAGAGAATTGCCAGACTTAGATTTCTCCTGGTGGGTGCTAATGATCTCTTTATTGTGTGACCAGATAAGAAATTTATATAACTTTTTTTAATGCTAAAACTTGCAGTATATGTTAAATTTTTCCACTTTTAAATAAAAGAATGTTATCCAGAACATAGGATACACATAACACACAGAAGCTGTATTCCCAAGAAAATCTGTGGACACTGATCAAATTTAGTGCCAGTTGCTTAAAAATAATCTTAGATAATTATAATTCTAATATTATTTTATTCTCCCATTAACCTTTTAAGAAAACTTCTAAAGAGAAATCCTACCTTAGTAATAGAAGATTTGACTCAACAGAAGTTACTGTTTTTAATTGAAAAAGGTCTTTCTTAAGTAGGGCTGCAGGCTAATTGGGGAAAAGCTGTTYAGACTCACACTTCTCTTTTTTGCATTCCTGTGCACAATGAAAGAATGTTCAGCAGCCTTTGGTGTCTGTAGGACTGGAAACTAATGGTTGACTGTCTTTCAGCTTTCATGACGCTGGTTATCATATTGCTGCACGTGTTCTGGGGCATTATATTTTTTGATGCTTGTGAGAAGAAAAAGTGGTACATTCTTCTTCTAGTTCTCCTGACCCATCTGCTGGTATCTACTCAGGTGAGTGTTGCCACTGACTTACAACATTTTTTAGAATTCAAGTCCACATATCTAAAATGGTAGATTCCTCTCTTAAATGAAGTACATACTCATGGGAAAATTTGGAGTCAAAAAAGTAATTTAAGTGAATGAATGAATCATCTAAGTTTTACTCCAGAAAAAAAAAAAAACACTATTTTTTTTTTTGGTGGATTTCACTAAAGATTATTTCCATGTGTCTTTCCTTTAATGGTTATAGTCAAACCTGAAATAATCTTGCTTTATACTTATATTATAAAGCACATCTGGGGGCAAGGGATATATGTCAGTTGGTAGAGTACTTGCCTTGCATGCACAAGGCCTTGAGTTCAATCCCCAGCACCATTTTAAAAAAATAAACAAACACACCTGGAGCAATTTCCACCTGATTACAAGTCCTTTAAGATACAAATTTATATCATTATGTAAAAATTATAATTTGTTTAACTGGTTAATCATTTATATTTCTCTATAGTTATCTTCATCATCTGTCTGCATAAAACTTTTTCCATATGTAGTTTAGATTCCAGGGTATGGAATTATAAAGTCAAATCACATGAAGATCTTTTAAATACTTGATAAAAATTGCTAAACTACTCTCCATAAAGGTTGTACCATGTTCACACATTCTGATCAATAACAAAAATATTGATTTAACTTCCTTCTCATTGGCATTATAGTAGTTTTTCAAAGTGAAGTTAAAAAAAAACTTGACTAGATCTATTTAAGAATACTATGTAATACTTTGAATCTCACTTTTAATGCAATTTGTCATTATTATCAGTGTGACCCCTAACACTGCCTGTCCAGACCCTTTTTACCTGTCAGCTGAAGTGTCACAAGCTTCCTCCTGATGATGCTTGCCTCCTGTTTCTCTTCTCTCCATGCACCTAGAGTTTATATCAAATTTTCTTATACTGGGCTCTTTGCCCTTAGATCCTTCTACAATGCCATCATATTGTACCCCCACCGCCCCATACACCTAAAACCCTTCAGTGCTGCAGGGTTACCCTTAATATGATGGCATACCCTTAATATGATGGCAATAGGTAAAGACAAATCTTTGTGGGAAATAAGGATGATAAAGACAATACATTAAAATATTAACAATATCTATCTTTGGTGTTGGGATTATAGGTTCTTTTATTCTTTATAGTTTTTGTCATGTTCCAAATTTCTATAACATAGCACTTTTATAATCAGAAAGAAAGTTATATGAGAAAGCAAATGTTCTTATGAATCTGACCCATCTGCTGGTATCCACTCAGATAAACAATAAATATATAAATAAACAATAAATATAATAAATAAGAAACTATACAGTGTGTTAGAAGGTATTTGGTGATTTGGACAAAAGGAAAAGTAGAACAAAGAGATCCAGGGTGTAAGGTGGTGATGTCACATCTCTTCACTAGGTGGTCAGAGTATGCTTTATAGTGAAGGACACATTTAAGAGGGGAAACAAAAAAAAAGCAAAGTAGAGATGAGGGAGTTGATCATGTGGCTGTCTGAGAGAGAGCATCCAGGACTGAACAGCCAGTACAAAGGTCCTAGGACTAAAGGACATGCTTGGCATGTTTGTGGAAGCCAGGTGGCCACAGCAGAATGCGCAGTGATAATGATGGGTGAGACAAGAGTGGAGAATTGAAAAATGGTCAGATTTTGGACATGTTTTTGAAAATAGAGCCAGCAATATTCCCTGATAGAGTAGCTGAAGCATGTGAGAGGAAAAGGAGGAGCCAAGGTTGTCTCCAAGGTTTTGGGCCTCGACAGCAGAAGCAATGAARCTGCCATCATCTAAGAGGGGGGAGTTTGAGGGGGAATTCAGGAATTCTGTTTGGGGAACATTATTTTGGAGGTGCCTATTGGACATCCAAAGTGAGCAATTGAATGCAAAAAAGTCTGGAGAGAAGTTAAGAAAGATGACTACAAGAAGTAGGAGTAAAAAAGAGAAGATGCTGAAGGACTGAGCCCCATGATGTTCCAGCAGTGTGGTTGGGAAAAAGAGTAGGGGCCAATAAAGAAGACTGAGAAGGAGAAGCAGTGAGGTAGGATGAAGTAGGAAACCCCGGAGAGCCACATGTCCTAGAAGCCAAGTGTAGAGAGTCATTATCTGTAGCAGAAGCCTATGGAATAAACCAGGGCTTCTTTGTTTGACCTAAGCTTCTTATCAATCTTGCTGCTGCAAAACTTAATCTCCTGCTGCTCTCCACAGTTCTTATCAACAGGGCTTTGTCTTCTCCCTAACTTAGATCATTCTTTGTAAAGCCCACCTGGAAAAGCTGCACATTCCAGACTTGGCACTATCACTGGACCTTATTCACTGCTATTTAATAACATTTGTCCTTAGCTGGAATTATTTTATTTAATACAGTTTTTACATCTCTCTTCAACTAGAGTTTGATCATCAAGATTGGGATCTTACTATGTCAGTCTTTTTATCAATCCTTGGCACACAGGTGACCAATAAATATTGATTGAATAYTAATGGTGGATGTTATCATATTTAATGGTTTTAAAAAGAACCCAGGGAGTTCGAATGTTTATTTACCAAAATGTTAACAATAGTTATCTCTGAATGACGGATTTCAGAGAAAGACCATTTAAGTAATTTTTTCACTAAAATAATATATGTATTATGTATATTTGTGTGTATACATACATATATAGGGCTGGGGCTGGGGCTCAGTGGTAGAACACTTGCCTAGCATGTGTGAAGCACTGGGTTCGATCCTCAGCACCACATAAAGAAGTACAACAAAGGTGTTGTATCATCTACAACTAAAAATATTTTAAAATATATACACACACACACACACACACACACACACACATATAAACACACATATAGCACACTATGTATATTAAGTCCACTATAGGTGTATGTGTGTGTGTGTTTGTGTGTGTGTGTGTGGCATACACAAATCAGAAGTATACATCTTGGTGAATTTTCACAGTGAACATAACTATGTAACTTGCACCGAGATTAAAATCAAAACCTTATAACCCCTCAGGAGCCTCTTTGTGCCTCCAATCACTACCCCTACCAAGGGTACCCATAATCCTGGCTTACGCCACCACAGCCAGGTTCTGCCTTTTAGTATTTCATGTAAACAGAAGCATACAATATTTGSTGTTCTACTTTACTCCTTTTACTTACTATTATGATTATAAGACTCATAATGCAGTCACTAATAATTATAAATTTGCTGTATATTCACTGTATAACTATAGATTGCTCATTCATTGCAGCATTCTGCTCTTTATACCATAATATCCATTCTACAGCAGAGAGGCATTTATGATGTTTTCAGTTTAAACTACTGTGAAGAGAGACTTCTATGAACATTTCAGTAAATGTCCCTTGATATATGTGTACACTTTTGGCGGGGTGGTGTATTCCTAGGAGTGGATTGTTGGGGCATAGTGTGTACATATGTCAGCTGTTCATACCACTCAATTTGTATCAACTTTTACCATTAACTTATAAGCTTCTATTCCTCTACCTCCTCACCAACATTTGGTATGACTTTCACTTTCATTCTGGGAACGCAGTGGTACCACATTAAACTTTAATTTGCATTTCCTGATGATTAAGGAGGTTGAAAATATCAAGTTTAGTTGTCATTTGGATAATCCTTTTCTGAAGTACTTGTTGAAATTTTTTGCCTATCTTTTGGATTGTCTTTTTCTTTTTTTTATATTTAGAAGTTCCTTATATTTTCTATGAAAGAATCCTTTGTCAGGTGTGTATATTGCAAATAACTTTTGTGGCATGGTTTGTCTTCACTTTTTTTTTTTCTTTGGTAGTACTGGGGATTGAACCTGGGGTCTCATACATATTAGGTAAGCACTCTACCACAAGCTATATCCCCAGCCCTTTTGATTTTTTATTTTGAGACAGGGTCTTCCTAAGTTGCYGAAGCTGGCCTCAAACTTGTGATCTTCTGGCTCAGCTTTTTGAACTACTGTGTAGGCTGTGCTACCACACCCAGCTTGATCAATCTTTCTTTATGGTTTCACTTTTGGGGTTCTGTTTAATAAAACATTAACCATGCTGAATTTCAAGTTTTAAAATTTGTTTATTTTTCTCATTTGTATATTCTATTTTCTACAACAATCATGAATTTTTTTAAATTGTTTAAATGACAAAAATGTTTTTCAAAGAAACTATAAAGAAAAAGCAAAACAAGTTTAGCCTTCTACAATATAAATTAAATTATGGGACTTGAGTATAAAGTTATTCTGAAAAAATAATCAGAAATGCTCAATGCCTGCCATGCCCACAGATGCCTCTTGAGAAAAGTATTCTTTCTGCATAAGGTGCTGCCCGCAAAATCAGCGCATTTCCCTGGGCAGAGCCGATGAGTGCCTTAGCCAAGGGAATGTGCAGGCATCTTGRAGATACTTGAAGCACTTGTGTTAAAGGTTAACAAACTGAGTCAGATCCTCTCCTTCTTTAAGTGTATATGGTGGGACTACATGGGAATCCATACCCCCAGCTCAACTCTGGTCTAACAGAGGAATTGTCCCTCCCACCTTCCAAGGTCAGTCCCTCCACTTGGACTCCAGCCCTGCTCCATTGTCCCCTGCTGGAGGACCTCCCACCCTTGGTTGTGCCCCTGTCCTCCATGGCCAGCCTTTCCCTCTTCATCAGCACACAGACATGTCTTAAATAAAACTCCTCAGTACTGCCTTTTCCCTATTTATCATCACAGCAGATCTCCACAAATTCTGTCTCCACTTCTTCACCATTCAAACTTCCAGCCCCTTGTGCCTTCTGCTCAACAATCCTTTTAAAACTGTACCTGTTGAGGTCAAAAAGAACCTTCATTTTCAACATTGTTCTTTTTTCATCTCAGCAGCCTTTAAAAAGAGTTGACCACCCCCCTCATTTCCCTCTTTCACTTCTGCTCTTCCACACTATGCTGACTTATTCTTACSTCACTGTTTACTCTTTCTCAGACCCTTTTACTGGCTCCTGTTCTTACAAATAATTTATACATGTTGCACTATTTCAGGGTACAGTCTTGAAGCCCTGCCTCTTACCATCTCTTTGKAGAGACCATAGCTCCCTGCATCATCACGATCATGGCTGTGGCCAAGTTCCTTCTGTAGGCTATGCTTCTACATTTTTTTTTCTAGCTGAGGACTCTCCTCTGAGCCCCATATTTATATATACAACCACTTATCTGACATTTGCCTTTCAAAATCTCACGGGATGTTACTCTTAATATGTCCTCAATGGACTTGATTCCCACCTATCTTTCCAAGCTTGGTATTTTGCCAATTCTTTCAAGTTTGATCTTCCTTAGGTCTTTGACACTTGATTAAATGTCACCACCATTACCTAAAGCCCAGAAATGTGAGAGTCAATCTTGGATTCTTCCTTCCCCTCACATTCAGTCCATTAGCAACTTCTGCCTGTTCATATTATCTTCTCATCTCCATCACACTATCCTGATCTTAAGTCACCATCCTGTACTTTCCTCATTCAGTGCAGTAACTTACTAACTAGTGTCTCCCTCCCTCTCCTCTCCTCTCCTCTCCTCTCCTCTCCTCTCCTCTCC